AAAAAAGTGTAATTTCTACTCTTCATTAGTAAATATTTTAGGGTATGAGAAACATGGGGTTCACAGTAAAAGGTGTGAACCGAGTTTCTGAGGGAAAGCTTTACTAATATTCAGATGAACTGAGAAATTACAGAACACACTGTAAAGCTTCTTGCTGAAATTCATTAGGTCAATTAGAACAAAATATTGTATTACCAGTTCCAAAATCATATGAACAGCAACTTTACCTGAAAACTGTAAATTTTCATATTGCAATCTTCTAGGTTTTAGTACCATGTAGTCTGGTAGGTGGTTAGTAACGTATTGCTTCAATCTTTGGGGCTGAAGTGGGTCAATTTGGGAAAGTGGCAGGTTATGCAGAGCTGCTGTATAAGTAATGGGACACACAGTGTGGAAGCACTGTGAGGAAGCAGGAGGGAGCCTACATTGGGCCATGGGTACCATAGCATATGGAAGGTTAACAATTTCCTTCACACCACCCCATTACAACCTTACACTTTCACCAACTTGGCTCACTTCAAACCTGATGACAGATGCAGTACATTCCTCCAAAACGGTGGTGCACACTGACCATGTCATGAGGCCACAGTATTGTGTTTAAAACATCTCTTGCATGTTAGTTGCACAGATCATTATGTAATCATTAGAAAATTCCTACTGGAGATCTTGTACAACAGCGAGCGCTTTTCTTCTAAGGTCGCCTACTTAAGGTAAAACGTACTCTCAATCTTTGCCGCCATTAAAACCTCAAATCTTGCATTGCTATAATTTTGTTAAATATTCAGCAAATGACATACAGTTTCATATAAAAGTTACAGAACTTAATAAGGTCTTTATTTTATGTTTCATGTGTGAATACAATGGGCCATTTGTGAGAGTTACAATTAAACATAACTCTACATGTCATCAACTGATAGGAAGAAATCTAGGATTTAAAATGGGAAGGAGTCTAAGCTGGTATCGGAGACATTTTGGTAAGAAAACTTCCTGGAAAATTTCCACTTGGAAGACTGATATGTAATTGACAGGATGCCATTAGCATGGGTTTTGTGAGGATGTAAAGAGAATGGACGTGGCTCATAATCAAAACCAGCTGTGAGCTTTTGTACTAGAAGAGCTGAACATAAGGGTTAGTTTCTTTTATTGCTAGTGGGGTGGGTCTAAGTTCCTTGTACTGCGGCCACTTCTGGCCTATTGTACCAGCCCCAGATGATAGGTGAGGGTGATTGTGGAACAATTGGTGGAATGAAGATTGGCAGGGGAAACTGAAGTAGTCAGAGAAAACCTGCCCCAGTGCCACTTTGTCCAACACAAATCCCACTTCACCAGTTCCAGGACTGAACCCGGGCCACCGCAGTGGGAAGCCAGTGACTAACCGCTTGAGCTATGGCGCGGTAAGGGTTAATCAAATTTCTCAAAATATGAAAAATATAGTAGGCTGTAACATCCAGGCAAACATAGGGCGAAACAGAAGAAACAAAGCTGTAAAAGTATACAATCTACACTTAATGCATGTATTCAGCAGGTGAAATTATAAATCAAATAATTAAGGCTATGCTGGACTTTTCCTTTATAACAGACATTACATGTATAAGCAACTATTCGCTGTTATGTGACAGACTGGTGAGAAGTCAAAACCTATAGGCCTACTGAATGAATAAACAATCAATATTAAGGCTTCAATGTTGTCTGTTACACATTATTAAATGAAAATTAAATACACATTAATTTTTATATCAGGGACGTATTGCAATAGAACATTACATTACAAGAATAAAACAAATCAGACCCGATCTTAATACAGTACAAACTCAACAGATTTTCTTGTTGTTATGGTTTTTCCTTTCTCATTTATGAATGTCTTCAAGAGGCCATGGTTGCCTGATAAACATGCAAGTTTAAAAATGTACTTGTAATAAACATCTGTATTTAATTATCTCAAAACTGTAAGACTTAATAGATTGTGTACAGGATACAGAATATGTGCATCATTCTTCTGTACAGTCTTTGCTTGAAACACTTTCATCTCTCGCCAGTATTTATGAGATATACAGAAACACATGTAGGTCTTCATGTAAAGTTATCACAGTTATCTGCTCTGAGTGAAAACTGACAATATGTGTATATATATTTTAATAATTTTAATAACATTTAATGATCACTGTATGAATTAGATGTGTATTAATGTTATTAATTTGCTGCATTATAGACAGAGAAAGAAAAAGACTACAAAAAAGGAAAATAGACAGGGTCAGCAATTTTTCATATAATTCTCCAGGAACAAATTCCATGAAGATTTGAGGCTTTCACGGCGGTGACTATGAAGAAAGCAGTCTTCTGGGATTTGGCACCATGTATATGTGGTGTTAACACCACATATACATGGTGCCAAATCCCAGAAGACTGCTTTCTTCAAATTCCATGAAAATCCATCCATTGTGGTTCTCAAGTAACTTCATATGTACAGATAGAAAGACAGACTGAGTGTACTTAGCAGGCTGACTGCAGGTCTGAAAACATGCCTACAAACACGATAACCCTTCTCATAATATTATATTGTTGCATTTTTCACTTAGTGTCAATTTACTACCTTTTAAAATTTTAAAAATTAATAAATTTTATAGGACATAGTGTTGCACGTGAGACTATAACCAATCGACACTAATACGATTACCCCTTGTGTGTAGGCACCTCATGTGCAACACAAGCTCCTTTCAATGCCCCACACAAGGCAATACAAAGTTTTCAGACACATCTGCAACCCTGCAGACATCATTTTCATAGACTATTAGCATAGAAGCTTCAAAATCAAAGGACAGAAACACAAAGAAAGTAGACAGCAACTGGTAAACAATCAGCACCGCCTTCAAATATCCTGTTTCCACTTTTGGCTGAGAATGAAATACACTTTCTGATTCTTCATACTGTATTGTGCTATCTTCACATACTTCCATACATTTACCTTACTTGTGAGTGTCAGATTTGAGAATGTGTTTTGTTCTAAGTCACATATAAACTTCAGCTAATTCCCTGCCTTCAAACGCAGTTTCCTGAAAACTGGTGTTGGTGGACACAGTACACAAGTTGTCACATGCTAGTTCAATGATACAGAAAGGCTATCTTCCTGCCATCTGAGACAATGTGCTATCACATCTCTTCTTTCAGTTATTCATAGACAATGGAACAAAACAAGTTTCTTTTGGTGTTTGAGAAAAGCTGTAGTGATGTTAACTTATATTCATTTATACTTTGTATATTTAATGGCACTTAAAATAGCTCAGTATACATAGCATCAAATGACAGGGCAATTAATGAGTAATAATGAGGTGGGATGGATGTGTAAGTAATCATGGCTTAACCTGAGGTACTATCCAGGAATCTGCCTGAGTGCATTAGGTTTGTGCAGTTAATTTGCACTGCTCTCAGTAACTAGACTACCTACCTACCCATCTACCTATGGCTCTACAGTACTTTGTTGTACTTTGGCCACTTTTTCAGTTTCTTAATTATACACACAGTTGGTAGGACTCCTTGGATGGGGGATCAGCGCATTGCAAGGCCACTACCTACACACAGAACAACACAAACACAGAATAAACGCACACAGACATCCATGCCTCGAGTGGGATTTGAACCCACGATCCAAACGTTCGAGCAAGCAAAGACAGTTCATGCCTTAGACTGTGCGGCCACTGCGATTGGCTCAGTAACTAGACTACATAGCATCAAATGAGAGGATTGGTGAACAATGGCCATGGCCTGGAGGGGCTGAGGACAACCAAAAACAAAGTCAGGCAGGATAACCAGTGTCCCTGACCAGGTTTGAACTGAGCACCTCCCAAATACAAATGTTATCATTACACCTATCAAGTTGGCTGAGAGACTGAAGAAAATCATGAAATCATCAGTTAGAACTGCTGGTCTACAGGATGTGAATGGAAGGAAAGTGGGGAGAGATGAAATTAGCCTGGAATGACTGAGTAAAACTATGAAATCATAATGACAGTCTGTTACTGTGCAAAATTCAACCAAATATAATACATAATTAATATCCACTCATGCTAAGATTTCACTTTTTGTGTGCATGATGTTTAACACTGCTGTCAGTATCTGAACTACTCAGCACTGAGGAGTGGAGTGACTCATGAGCTGGAAGCAGTTGAAGTGTAATTGAGGCACTACTCCAGGAATTTGCCTGGAGGGACGAAGGAAGAGCACAAAAAGACTCGGTTAGGACAGCCGGTGTCCCGACCAAGATTCAAACAGACCATCCCTTCAGTAAGAGTTCAGAAATGCCAAACTGTTCACGAACATTCAATTCTGAATCTATCACAACACTGCTTGTCAAGCTGAGACACAATGTCCACATTAGGCACATGGTGGCAGGGTCTTCATTATTGCTAGTGGGGTGGGACTAAGTCCCTTGCACTGCGGCCACTTCTGGCCTAACCAGCCCCACATGATAGGTGAGGGTGATTGTGGGGCAACTGGTGGAATGAAGATTGGCAGGGGAAACCGAAGTACTCGGAGAAAACCTGCCCCAGCACCACTTTGTCCACCATAAATCCCACTTGACCAGACCCAGGATCAAACTCAGGCCACCATGGTGGGAAGCCAGCAACTAACAGCTTGAGTTAGGGCATGGCCTTGGTAGCATAGTTGGTTGAGACACTATGCTACAAGCCGGAAGGTCGCGGGTTCAAGTCCTGATGAGGTGGATTTTTTTCAATTGACCTAATCCTTCCAGCCACACTATGGCCCTGGGGTTGACTCAGCCTCTAACAGAAATGAGTACCAGGAATTTTCCTGGGGGGTAAAGGGTGGCCAGTGCATAAGGCTGGCAATCTTACTGCCATCTGTGAGCCAACTGCCTAGATAATGTGGGCCCCTCAATGTCTCACAATCCTATGGACCTCCATGGTTTCTTACAAGAATATCTTTACCTTTTTTTACCTTTTACCACTTACAGTCAAATTATACCACAGCAATGAAATATCAAATTTGCATCCTGAATACTTCTTTATTAATAATTTGGTCTTGTAACAAGTGTCTACCTTCCTGTCACAATTTTTTTAAACTTTCCGTGCCTGTCTTTCATGACACGACCCCAGAATTTCATGACTGTGCCAGGAATGGCCAACATCATTCCTAGAACAGCAAACATATTCTGGGAGGGTAACAACATGTAATCTGGTATAAATTTATTGACATTTCAGAGAAATGTATGTTGTCCATCTTTAGGGTCTTAGGCAGTCTTTGGTTTTGTGGACGGAGGCAGGAACATTCCTTTGAGATGTCAGTAAATGCCTTTCTCAGACTATAACAATGTCCTGTCACTGAAGACATAGCAGTTACTGCCATGAGAACCTCAGACCTCACTTTACTCCTAGACTTTCATACACTAAGTATGAAAACTTAATAGTTCAATATTATGTGTAACGTGAATTACAGGCCCTTGCAAGATAGTCGGTGCATCTTCCCTCCTCTACATTTGTTAAATCAGTTGTCTCGTTTATACAAAACAGTGGGGAAAATAATGCATAAATAAAAATGAAGTCAGTACCTCTTCAACCTTGTAACCATTTTAAATACAAATCCTCTAAACTAAGTTTATTTGATGACAGCGTGACATACTAAAATTATTCATTCAAACTTCACCCATCGTCCTTTTTGACGCCATGCAGCCTAGTAGATTTTTAGTATTGTTTTGGAGGAACTTGCATGGGAAAAAGTGGAACGTATACAGTAATATGAAGAACAGGGACCCAGCGCGAACCAACAGCACAAAGAACAGCGTAAAGTACATTGGCCCTGGAAAGGGCCATTTTCCAAGGGTACAGCAATTTGAAGGTTCATCTGTCATACTGGTAATGCTCTACAAGGCTACAGTAGGACAGCCCAAAGTGCTGGCAATGACCTACTGTAGCAAATGGTATCAGACTGCAGACAACAGTAATCTTCATAGTCAACACTATGAGAACTTCAAATCTATGTTGGGCCCTTAAGATCACAGACCGGAGCCTAATGCAACAGCTGTATTTGCAGGCCCACCCAGCAGAGCAGACTGTTTAATCTGAGGTTCTCATGGCAGTGACAATGAAGGGAACTGTCTTCGCTGATGTGACACCGTGTAGCGTGGTAGAGGTTTACTGGCATTTCAGACTCATTCTTCTTGCGGCTCCCTCCTTGCTAGTTGCTTGATTCACTCACTCTTCCACTGTGAAGTGGAGACCGGACATTCTTCCAAATGTCAGTACACTTCTACACGACTACTCACGGCCACATCCCGGAAGACAGTAGTCTACAGACTTAAGTATCTGTTCACCTGATAACGGATACAGAATTAATTTCTGAAATCTAGCACTTTTTAATAGCAGTGATAGTGGACAGAAGCTAAAACCACATTCTTAAAAAATCCCTACTTTCACACTTTGTTTTCATGCTCCTTTGGCAAAGCAAAAGGACAAATAAAATAAAATATTTCCAACCTATATTCACAGACTGCAGTACACTTCATGAAGCTGACTCCCATGAAACAGTAAGTCACTTACTCCACACAGGAGGAGACTTCTTGGAAAGCTGACCACCATGAAATTCCCAGCCTTTTATGGAATCCACAGGTTCACTACTGTGCCATCGCTGGACCATATCTTGAGCCAGCTGAATCCAATCCACACTTTAATACCCTTTTCTTTAAACACAAGAAAGCCAAACAGAGTCATGTGTGCCTGTCTCTCAAACTGGGGATGGAAGATGACACAGTGGCAACATTACACTGTAATCAGCTTGGGCGATTCGAACCCACCCCCTTTGTTATGTCTGTGATACCGCCCTTTGGTTTCATGTTGCTGTAATACCATAGCACACTCTATCTACTATGGGAACAAGGGTGCATCATAGTCCGTTAGTGACATGAACCATAATGTCAAGTTACTAAATTCTATTTGCAGCGCACTTCCGGTATTCATACATACTTACACGGGGAGGGGGGGGGGTTCCTTCTACAAGACTTCCTACATGAGGCATGACATACCCTGGTACACAGAGTAGATAGGCTTCACTGTGGAACTGTGACTTACAAGAGATATTCTATAATGCATAAAATAATTTACAATAGCACTTCACAACCTATCAGTGATTCCGTAGAAAACAGGCTTCATAGTCGCTGAACACTGAGGAAGTCTAGACATGAGCCTCAGCAGAACCTGCAAATTGCACAAAGCGGCCGGTTATGTAACATCCATTCAAAGCAGCAACACTCTCATTTATTTGTTTGTGTGGACAGGATAGGAACGTCAAAAGGTAAGCCAGGAAACAGAAGAAAATTGAAAAGAACCAGACTGAGATGGCTGGAAGATGCAAAGAATGAATTTAATAAGTTGAAAGTAAAGAGGAGACAAGCAACCCAGGTTCTTACAGGGTTGCAGAGCAGAGGCATAAGCAATGCAGTGTTTTAAAAAAATGTGTCTCAAGGGTTACATTCACAAAATGACAGAAATGATTTAGAAATTAAAAAAATATCAAGATTACATTATGTAGCCACATTAGGTATCCAAACCCCAGGGAACATTATACAAGGTGCTATTGGAAATATCCTGGACTAGGCCAAAAAGAAATGCTGGCTTAACTTTGGCTGCCATCTCCTTCAAAAAGTCTCTTTGGGAACTTGGGGGGGGGGGGGCACTGCTCCAAGTGAATCATACTGTACACTGAAGTTACCTGTATGTGGGGCTGGTCCGGCGCTTGCTTCAGGTTACAGTTTGAAGACCAGCTTTCCCCTGGCTCCGGTAGTGCGGATGATATCATGATGGGCTTCTGTGGCTTCGTCCAGCTTGTACTCCCGTGAGATTACTGGATTCACCCAACCAGATTCGATCCCCCTTAAAATCACTTCAGCTGTCTCTTGTGTCTCCTCCTGAAGCAGACAGGCACAATAACACAGAATGAGACATTTCCTCACTTTAAAGTCTTCCTGCCAAATTTCAGGTTCTCGTGGTGTGTGTTAAGGCTACAGTCCCTTGGGCTGTCCCTTAGCCGAGGCAGTCAGTCGCTGGCTTCACACTGTGGCAGCCAAGGCTTGAACCAAGGATACATCTTGTGGGATTTGTGGTGAACCAAACAGCACCAGCCAGGTTTCCTCCAAGTACTTCGGTTTCTCCTGTCGGTTCACATTTCACCAACTGCTCCACATTATCAACAACCCTATAATCAACACTACATACTCTCAATACTGACAGCATCATTAAATAACCAACTTAGAAATACAGTCTTCTAGGATGCGGATTTATGTAGTTTGGCAGACAAGTACAACATTTTGCAGCAATTCCACCTAAACTTCTGACATCTATCAAACAAACTACAAAGCAGCACATCTAGCGCATTATGACTTTGATTTCTCTTGTTTTGTGGCTTATTTTATGATGTCAGTACCTAAGCGTAAAATGTAGGCTTACTGATCAATAAATAATGAATTGGAATTGATTACAACGCATGCAGCCAAAACAGAAGAACACATCACAAGACACACTATACACAAAATAAAGGAAGAACGACTCCCACAGTGGAAGAATGATATAATACACGAGTTTGAATTAAGACGTAGAAGATGATAAATCTTAAATTTTTAATATAAATACATTTTATTATAGTAAATGAAGAATATACATTTTAAATAATTTTATAAACGACACATGATGGCGAGCAGTGCAATAGTTCAAGGTAAATAACACACCTGAGGATGGCACAGTGATTCCGAAACATGTAGTGAAGTGACAAGTGAGATTGTGTGCACTAGAAGACGGTCAATACATACACATCATGGATGAATTGGAAAGGGTTTGGAAGGGAATGGTTGTGGCCTACTCAAGGTACTGTCCTCACATTTGCCTGGAAGGTAAAAGGTAAAAAGTTGTCTCTGTACTTAATTAATTACGCACCACACCATGAAGACTTACAGGGAGTGGAGGTATAGCTTCACCATTCTTGACCTGAGCACTGGATGGAGGGGAGTCATTTGTCGGGGACGATTGACGAAAATGACACAATAAAAACCTGTTAGGATAGCTGGTGCCCCAACTGAGGTTCAAACAGAGCACCTCCCAAACAGAAGTCTAGAGCACTACCACTCCACAAAATGCCCAGGCTTCCCTGATGCCATGCCATGCAGTCCAATGGGTAGGTACCAACGTTCAGAGAAGCCGCCTGCCACCTCAAAAGCCCCTAGTCTATTCCATTAGTAATTCAGTCCACATTTTCAAAACCGGACAATACCCTTCACAAAGAAATCAAGCAGGAAATAATATTTTCTATGACAAACATTTTTATTAATCACACCCCCATGGTTCTAACCGTGAAACTGCAGTTAGTTTTTGTGGGTTATTTTACAATTCTGTAATACTCTAGACTAACGCTTGTCTATCATATCGTGAGTACACAACCTTACACGCAAAACGTCCCACATGTTCCAGAAGATCTCCAGTATGGAAATTTTAGTTCCCGTTGCATGTGGATAATAGAAGTTAGTTAATGCAACAGCCAATGTCAACATCTGACAATGTTGCATCCTTATAGATGTTTCTAACGAAGGTTACATAAAACTGAATAGCAAGATGGCTAATAACAAGTTGGGAAAGGTTTTCAAGGAAGCAGTCCTGGCGTAACTGAGGTACTATTGTGGAATTGGCCTAGACAGACTGAGAAACACACGAAAACTTCGGTCAAGGCAGGCAATGTCACGGCCATGATTCGACCCAAGCACCTACAAAACACAAGTCCGAAGCATTACAGAAACAGACCCAATGAAACTGTGGTAAGGAAGGAGTGCATGAAATATATAGCAATTATGTGGGAAAACTGACCGCAGTTGCTCCAGCAAGCATAACACCAATTATGCTGCCTTCAGTTAGCATAAGAGACCGTGGGTTCACTTCCACAATGCCTCGACACCCAACCACCTAGAAATGAAAAAACAATTTCCATGTGAAATGTAAATTAGCTGTGTCATGGCTGCTCGATACAAGTTACCGTGGCTACAGGGGAGAGAGGGACTCAATACCCTCTGCACATTTAAGTAAGAAGAGAAACAAGATCAGTTAAAATACTGATGCCTTATGGCAGCTCAGTCATCCAAGTCACAGCCTCCTCATTACATGACTGGCTATTGCTGCTTCTTACTTAGGCACCAGGTAAAGCAAAAGGCACAGCTGTCCATGCTTAACTGATTAAGCACACCATGATGGCATAGAAGGGAGTGGAGGTATAGCTCCACATATCAGCACTAGATGCCTAGGCTACTGTAACCCCAAAAGAAAGAGCCCCCAGTTATCAACGGACAAGACGGGTGGGCCCCGGAGCCAGTCTGGATACTGTGTGCCAGTGAACCGTGATGGGAGATACCATATTTACGCNACGTTGCCAAATTTCGGAATAATTTCTACTCCTGAAATAATATTCCAAGAAAATTATTTTTTCTATAATTTCTGTCCGAAAATTGTGCTGCGGCCTATACACGCACGCGGCCTATACATGCGTAAATACGGTACTTTTATTTATTCATTCATTTATGGTTTACTTAACATTTTCACTAACTGATATTATGTAGTGTCAAATGATAGGATTAGTAACAAAGTAATTGTAATGGATATGGAAAGAACTGACTGTAACTAAGTCAATGCACAATCCTAACATCCTCCTGGAAAGACTGAAGGGGAAAAAAGAATCACATAAAACTTCAGTCAGGACAGCCGGTCTCTTAGCTGAAACTTTGATATGAGGCCTCCAGAACATGAAGCAGGATAGCTAACCACCCAAACATGAGGTTAGGTTACAGACGGAGTGTTAATACAGTAATTACATATAACTGATATTCTCAAAACACCTGTACTTTCCATCTGTGAAGACAGCTGAAGTATGCATTCATAAAAATTGCCTATAATTGAGTCTTGGTTTATTTAATAGCACTTTCACAAATGTTTATATCATGTAACACAGAATGGTAAGATGTTGTGTCAATGACAAATTTGAAAGGGTACTGAAGGAGGAGAGAGATAGAATGAGTGTGCGCATGTTACTTTACAGCCCTGTCAATACCTGTACTATATCATGGTACTGGATGGCGGGACAACTGATGAACACTGAAACTAAAAGTATCTGGAAAAAGTAGTCAAATCCTAATTGAGCTACAATCCTGGTAGCTGCCTCAATGGACTGAGGAAATCCATGAAAAAACACCCCAATCTTGATAGTTAGGTTCCTTGGCAGATTCAAACTGAGCAGTTCTGAAATACAAGTATGAAGCAACACTGCTACAACGATCAACTCGGTCAAATGGCTACAAGACAGTTTCTGACATGCCTCATGGCCGGATAAAGGGGAGCAACACACAGAATGCATGACATTCATCTCTACAGTCCTGAGGTCACTTCAGCAGATGGGAAGGCTGTGTCTCAAAAACTGCGCATAGAGATCTGACAAAACAGGAAACTGAGTCCCTTTAAAGGCGAGGCCATTCCCTTAAAATAGAACCCGTGTTTTTACACAGTGACAGTATAAAATGTGAACAGTGTGACATAACTTACAGCAACTCGTGCTTGTTGATTAAGCACCGTCAAATCTGCTCCAAGATTTACGTTGGCCAAATTTTCAAGAACCACGTTAAAACCGTGACCACCGATTGCGGCTACTGCGTTATTCAAGTAACCTTTCTCTCTGTGGTTAAATACGTGATCGGCTCCAACTTTCTTTACCACGTCCATTCCTTCGATGGTGCCAGCCGTACCAGCAACAGTCAGACCTAATTGGACAGTCCACAGAAAATCACAATCTTCATCTTAAAGTCACTCCCACTTTTAACATTGCTGCAATAAGGATTATGTCAGGCATGGTTGCAGCTACCTGAATATAATGTTTAACGAATACAAGAGAATATTATATGAATCATCCATTTCAAGTTCGAACGAACACTGTAGCCTTCTTTGACATGATGCTGCGTAATGTTGGTGTTTATCATCACTCAGAGAAACCTACTGCCTCCATCTGCAGGGTACAGGCAGTAAGACACCATATTTGTCAGAACATAAATAATTCCATGAAATAGAGTCATTCTTGAGAAGACAGTGGGCCTTCACCTTGACACAGGAATATGATCAAAAACTAAAATTTACATTTTACTGTCACATGGTTCCTTAGCTTACCATAAGCCTTAGCTATCTGTACAGCTGCAATCCCCACTGCACCACTTGCGCCATGCACCAGAAGGATTTCTCCAGGCTTGATACGGCATCTGGCAATAAATGATTCAGAATTAAACAAAATTAACTTTTTCATTCCAAAACCAAAAGATTCAGTGCCACTAATGCCAAAGCAGAACATCTGATATAATCCTGGATTAGTTCCAACCCCCTATTATCATGTCAGCATATGTGTTTCCTGTGAGGTACAAACTGGATTCTTATATATAAAGTCTCTGCTTTCTACCCGCAGTGTATTTGTGTGTTCCCTATGGTTCTCACAATTAACAGCCACTGTTTCCCCCAACAGCATTAACTGGTTGGACTTTGTGGTGGAGAGGTAATGTGTTTCCTGTGAGGTACAAACTGGATTCTTATATATGAAGTCTCTGCGTCCTAGCTACATGCCAAGCTCAGTATTGCCTCCTAGTTTCACTATTCTAACCACACTAGTGACCTGATGATTACAGTCTTCTGGAATATGATTCCATGTAGTTCGGTAAATAGGTAGCAGTCAGTGTTTGAGTGGAGCCTGGAGCATCCATCATTAGGGTAGGTACACAGAACCTTCTTATGAAACTATGTCACAACCAAGAACACAATCTCATATTCGCATCTGTGAGAACCTCAAATCCGATCATATAACTTTTGCATAAATCTTCTGATTGTGTCCTTCTGGGTTGTGATAATTCTACCATGACAAATAACTTACTTCCTCCTGAAGAACATTCCTCAACAAACAAACAAACAAACAAACAAGGGAGAGAGACCAAGCGGAAGGAGGACGAGAAGACGCTTCTTCCTCACTTCCACCCCCAGAACATGAAGGCCTGAAAATGTGCTGAGGTTCAAATTTCCCTCTTCTGAGGAAACCTTATGGATATCCTGAAAAGGGTGGTCTCTTTACCTTTCTTCTCACATTTCCACTTTTCAGTCTCAAACAACATTTTGCACCCAGAAAGGGCCATCCTTTCTCACTATTCGAGTTCCCACTTGTGGAGGGGGGACTAATGTGCCCTTTAAAATGACAATTTTCTTACAGATCTCCAGAACTGACTCCTTTCCTTAAGCCCAGAGGGTCAGATCACCAACTTCTTGCAACACACCTACACAACAGCACCACTTCTGAATCCACACACTTCAGCCCTGAAGATGGAGACACCAGTATCCATCCACATTACCACATGGCACCAGAATGCAGATGACCAAAACCTGTTCAGTTACTGCTATGAAAACCTCAAAACATACTGAACAAAGGTGAATTCAGAAGAGAGACACTGGACACCAGTCATGTTGATCTTAATGTCTCTGGACATGGTTCACTATTTTCTTGCTGCGAATAGCCAAACGAGATTGCCAGAACTTAAAGATGACTTGATGCATCACTTAGCCTACACATTTATGTAAATTCAACAATATATTTTGGTCATATGGGTCCGTCAACAGTTGGTTAAATTGTTATACTGTATTACAATACCATATAGGCCTCGAGGGGTATATCTCCAAAAGTTCATTATTATAAAAACCCAAATCGGTTCTTATTAAAATGGTTTAAAATGATATAAAATGACATACTGTGTCGTAATGTTCTTCTTTCTTGTGTTCTGACTTTGCAGCAATGTGTATTCTGCGGGTGGTATCTGGGTTACACGCCCTCTGTCTGTGTGCGCATGTGCTAGTACGTTTGGACTCTGTGGGGAGACAGCCAAATGCTAAGAGAAAAATTAGTCACCAGTCAAATATTCTCAGCTGTTACTGTCTTACTGGTGACCAGAAGACTGTAAATTTTCAACCCCTTGTTCACTGTCATGTTAGGTTGCGGATAAATACTCACCTCTAGCAGAATGTTGCAAGAGGTGACTAAGTGCAGACTTACTTGGTAACCAAAGCTCTGTAGGCAGTGAAGTACGGAATGCACAGGCCACTTCCTTGGCTGAAACTCAGTTTCTCTGACAAAGGATATACATTTTCCTCCTTGCACGCCACAAACTCAGCATAACCTCCATTCTCAGGCAGCAAGGCAAACACCCTGTCACCTTTCTGAAATAAATAAATATTTTTGATAGCCAAGTCAAAACACTGATCTTGAGTCCATTCTCGAGTCCTTCCACATGTGAATGTCAGCATTTCTGCCAACTTTACAGAGCTACACATTGACTCTATTTTCAGGGTTGAAGTGAGCTCGGTGAACGTGTTCATGTATATATACGTTTTGGGCCAACACACTTGACACAGAAGGGTGGGAGCTGGTGACCAGACCAGCAAATAAGGACAGTGAATAGGCAAATACAATACAAAATGGCCCCCTTTTGGGCCATAAGTACACAAAAAATCAAAGTGTTCTCTGTTCACTGTTCCCACTGGCCCAGACAAGGCACCACACTTGACCCTGTGGGGTGGCAGGTTTCCTGGCTCAAAACTTATACACAAGAACACTTTCACAGTCCACTCACTTCAACAATGGAGAGGGAAACAGCATTGGCAACACTGATCATTATCCACACTCAAAGACCTCTGAGTAGAATTAACATCCACAATCAACCATTATGCTCGCCCAAAATCAGTACGACTGACCGTTTCGGATTGTGAATTAAGAGTAAACGCATTAGCCATTATAAGCTGCAGTTCCACTATTGCAACTTGACATACATGTGGTCCAACTGGCTGGATGTTGTTCGCAAATACGGTTACACCCAGTTAAAATCTGGCTCCAACCCCAACAGCCCCCAGCTATGCAATTTAATCTCCTGAACAGCAAAGTTCAAGCACTGCAGCAACACAAGCTCGTTCCCAAGTCAGGTCATTAGGTGGAAAAAGTCGTACTGGAGTAGGTTTTCTGCAGGTACCTTGGCTTCCCCTGCCAATTCTCATTTCAGCAAATGCTCCACATTCACTAATTATCCTATCATCGAGTCTATATTGTCCTGATGTTGACAGCGCCGTTAAATAAACCAACTAAAACTAAAAACAAAGTTTAACCAGCTAGCAACATGGGAGCATGTCCAAGGGGTTGACAGCTCAGCTGATACAGCGACATGGTCACGGGCTAGATCATGAAGGGAATGACATTCAATTTCAGACAGGGACAACAAATTTGTCTTATTCTCCGTGGTATCAAGACTGTCTCTGAGGCCCATCCAATACTGGCACCAACCTTAATTTGTATGCTTTATTAACAGGACTGCAAAGTAAAAAGCAAATTAAACAGACATGCATGGTTTTGGCTTCCTGGGCTGGACCATGTTGAATTTTGAGGTTTCTCCGATATTTTGTGCAAACCTTCAAATTCCCATATTCAAGGTTAATGACTTTCAGAGGGGTGTTCAGCTGCCCTTACATCTCTCTTGCAGTAGGTAGTCCGTCAGAGACGAAGCCACGGCTAGGAGAATAGTGAAGTGGAATGCTAACTAATATGGAGGAGCACCATGTGGTTGGTGAAAGGAGACAGCAAAAAATGTTTCAGCAACCATATGACCCTGAGAAGAGGCTAGGCAAAAAATTTCACATACCTCAGACATACAACAAGAGGTGTAATTCATGTAAGTGATTGTAGTAAAGGAATGCCTAAAGAAGTTTTTGCATCAAATAATCTAGTCAGTATATCTGTAAAAAAATTATCTTCTTTTAAATACCTTTAAATTGCTCACACCATCTCCAACATCTTCCACTATTCCTGCTACTTCTCTTCCCAATATTGCTGGCAATTTTGGTAAAGTAGCATATGCACCTTCTCTGATATATGTGTCAACTGGATTTATACCAGCTGCATTCACACGAACCAAAACTTCAGAATCTCTAAACGATGGAACTGGAATATCCTCTAATTTCAAATTATCAGGACCACCAAATTTGTGTATTCGAACAGCTCTCATGGCTTTATGCAACTTTGACAAAGTGCTGAAAGCTGTAATAAACAGGACGTAACACTCTGACAACAGAAAAATCACTCTCAGTAATCAATAACATATACCAATACCTCTTTTCATTCTAAGACAATCAATCATCACATTATTTTCCACAAAATACGTGCAGATCCTACTTCACCACTGATAGCTGCAAGTTATTATTACTTTTTACATATCTTAATGTAAACAAACAAAAATGCTGACACATTATGACAAGTTAACTGCTTGTGATTACGTATGTTTACAACGTAAACCATCCGCCACAGAAAACTACAACATTTACCATGTCAGCAAAACAAAACACTATCACATCACTTTACAGACAGTCATTTACACATACTCCCCACAAAATACGTTTTACAATGTTCCTTCACTATTTACTATCACAAGTCGTAGTACAGACAGGACCTTGACCCTATTTAAGAACTTCCTAGGCTCTCTGAAGTATATACGCTCGTACTATCTACAACTTATGTTCTAAATTGAAGCGTGTGACAATTCATTCGGCTAAATAATCTATGTTTACATGCCGCTGAACATTTAGTATGGAACAAGATGTACCTTAATTAAATTTTTTCTTATCTGTTTTTGCAACAGACAGCCATTGCCACACTACATGGAATGGAAAGATCTAGTTAGATCTAGTTCGTTTTGAATTTTAGTGCTGCCAACATACTCAGCTTCTATTCCCCAACTTATTTCGCAGCGTTTTGCGGGTGACATACACACACACACACCCACACAGCTGAATTTGTATATCTTACGTAATTAATAGTGGTTATTAATTACATACAGGACTGTAATACCTATTACGGAATAATTTTAAAGAATTTGTCGTTTCTGTAAAACTAAGTGCATCAAGTGTCTTGTGGTTGTTCTACTGACTTGCTTACTTTATTTATTTGTACATCCGGTTGTTCCGTATTTGGAGTAGCCAGGGTTCATGGAATATGTGTAATCTGTCTGGTATGATTTCTGTCGTCGAAGGGCAAAAAACTGATCTGACTTCGAATTCAACAGAACATGGATCCGTTGATTTTAGATGATGATACTTGGTAACGGACATAGGACGAACAGACGCAACTTTCACACACGTGGTCTTATTTTATAAAGAACGTCAGAAACGTTGAAATCAGCAACAGTTGACGCTGCCAGGACTTTTTTCTAAGGGGAAGAAGGGAGCCATACAATTTACTTACAGACTTGCGTTTAAGCTGTTTAAGGGTGTTCTTGTAGATCGTCGTTGGGCATTCAGAATAGATACGCCGTTTAAAAATAGTTTTAATTTTTGATATTAATATTTTGGAGATACATTTATTTTTTCAACTTTAATTTGCTCGACTTTTCTCCTGTCGGTGCAGATGTTATTAACTTCCTTCCTTCCTATTGGTGTTTAAATCTATAATAATATCTACACATCCAGTTCATGCCATTCGTTTATCTAGTAGGAACAATATGCAGTTGATACCGGTCAGAAGATTATAATATATTAAACACTGACGTACTGTTATTTGCTCAGATCTAATAACGTTTACCAAGAGGCCTAGAAAAATCATTAGAGAACAATATGTAATTAATTGTGATTTTCTTAGTGCACAAACTTCTCTCTGACTTCTACTTAGCGCCGTCTGCGACGTGGGTTCGCTTACGAACATTGCCTAAGAGCGACGTGCGCGCCATCTAATATAAGCAAATGGTACCAAGTAATACTCCTGGAAAGACAGCTGTAGATGAGGTCAACGGCCGTGCGTCCCGTGCGAGTCACAACATAATTTCACGTGAACCGTACATATGCGGAATGTTGAGGGGAGGTAGGGCAAAGTGTTCATTAACTTACTTACCGGCACTTCATCAACTGAACTATTACACAGTGTGTGTATAAAATGTGATCCTCACAGTGGTGACTATATCCAGGGATGTAAGACCATGTAGTCCGGTAGAAATTCATCGACACTGCTAAAGAACGTATGCCATCTTCAGGGTCGAAGAGGAAAAGACGTATGAAGCAGGCAGCAGTCCGAAACGTCGGTGAACTTCTACCGAACCACATGGCATTACATCCCTGAAGAGAGTATATGAGCCAGATCAATCCAATCCATACCATCCCATCCTATCTCTGTAAGATCCATTTTAATATTGTCCACCCACCTACGCCTTGGTCTTTCCAGTGGTCCCTTTCCTTCTAACATTCCTTTTCTCCCCCATTCGTGCTACATGCCCTGCCCACCTCATCCTCCTTGACTTGATCATTTTAATTATACTTGGAGAAGAGTACAAGTTATGAAGCTCCTCATTATGCAGTTTTCTCCAACCTCCTGTCACTTCATCTCTCTTTGGTCCAAATATTCTCCTCAACACCCTGTTCTCAAACACCCTCAGTCTGTGTTCCTCCCTTAATGTCAGAGACAAAGTTTCACACTCATACAGAACCACAGGCAAAATTATAGTTTTGTATATTCTAATTTTTATATTTTTAGACAGCAGACGAGAAGACAAAAGGTTCTGGATTGGATGGTAGTAAGCATTACCCGAGTTCAGTCTCCTATTAATTTCCTCCTGAATCAGGTTTTGATTTGTTATCGTCCTTCCCAAATATCTGAACTGTGCCACATTTTCAAAACATCTGTTAGCTATCGTTATGTCATGACATAATCGTGTACTACATTACAGAAATTAAGTCAGATGCTGTCTCCCCCACCCCAGTGTTCAATGCATGCTTTATCTCAACACTACCAGCAGCTTCACGTGTCAGCCGCTTTACCCCTGGTACCCATAAGATAGGAGATTGTGTGGGTCCCAGAGCAGATCCATGCAATATAGAGTAGAGAGATTGCTTGCCCCTGCCAGGAATGGAAGCCTGACTACTTACAGCCTGTCACTGTACCAATTGAGCTGTTCTGGCTCCAGTTGACTTCACTGACTGTTCCATTGCTGCTGGCCCTCACCAGCACAGTGATTCTTAGTTTTGCGCAGACACCTGCTCGTGCTGGTTCCTCGCTCGCGGATTTTTCTACCATGAAGATGGAGGTGATACGTTCCTCCCAAACGTCAGTTAACACAATATCTACATGGCGCCAGATCCCAGAAGACTGCTTTCTTCATAGTGACTGCCATGAAAACCTCAAATCTTACATTTATATTACTAAGTGCATTAAAGTTCTGAGAACTTTAATCTGTTTTTGACTGAGGGAGCATGGTGCAATTTCTCGTCACCTGGGACAGGACTTAGGTTTGCATCAGCCCTACTGCCAGGTTGTGTGCTTGCATCACCAAGTGTCCCGACTTCTACATCAGGACTTACCACAGAAACAGAGATTAAGATGCAAGGATAATATGTGAGAACTGAAGACAGCGAATAAGATAGAAGACTGTCAAGCAATCAAATATGATATGTGTGTGGTTTATTTAATGATAGCGTCAGTAAGTAACTATATAGTGTGGAATGATAGGATGACTGAAGAAAGAGTGGGAAAGGATTTGGAAGGCAGTGGTCATGTAGTTACTATAGGATTCTGACGATGGTGTATAACACACAGAGATATTGGGTTTTCCAACTTTATCCATCGTCCTGATTTTTAATATAACTAAAAAAAACACGACATTTCGGAAACTGGATCTGTTTCTGTCCTCAGGTGAGGGAAAACACCTATTCTGTTGGGTCCCTTAGAAAGAGCTAGCCTCAATCACTGGACCAGTGAAGAAAAACACACAACCAGTCACTAAAGGCGGGTCTAAATTGGATTAAAAGATAAACCCTGGCAGTAACTAAAGTAGAAGAATGTACTAAAGCAGAAACGGGTGGGGGCAGCCATAGCGGCCGGTAACCAGGAAGAAAAAGGAATTTGAGCACTCCTAGTTATAGTAGCCAAAATAACCAGCAAAGAGATCAAAACCATCTCAAAAGAGCCCCTCAAAAAATCCAAATAATAAACATAGTTCCAACTACCAAAGTTAACTATTCAAGCAGTGATTGAGGCTAGCTCTTTCTAAGGGACCCAACAGAATAGGTGTTTTCCCTCACCTGAGGACGGAAACAGATCCAGTTTCCAAAATGTGTTTTTCTTAGTTAGCTTAAAAATCAGGACGATGGATAAAGTCCGAAAACCCAATATCTCTGCAGTGGTTATGGCCTAATTGAGGTACTATCGCAGCAATAATTTGAAATGAGTGCTTGCTGAACAGGTGGTACAGACTAGGGATATAACATTTTCATTTCATGCAACCTGTTGGGTTATAATATACAACTTCTTTATTAAAACCGTCACAACACAACTATATCAAGGTCACTGCCTAGTTTGGCTCCACTACATGTTTTGGCTATCAATAGCCATCATCAAGCAAATACATGGCTGACATATATACACCACTGAATTGCAGTACTAGTAAAATTGGATACAATAATATTAATTATATAAAATACTCAACGTAAAAATACAATAAATTAGATTATATAAAACAAAAGTTATAGTATAAAACAAGAATAAAATTGAAGAAAGCAGTCTTCTGGGATTTGGCACCGTGTATATGTGGTGTTAACCGACGTTTCGGAGGAACGTATCGCCCCCATCTTCAGGGTTGAAGAAGTATAAGTAAATCTGCAAGCGACAACACCGTGAGACACGGTCAACAAATCTTACAAGAATAAAATTCTTCGATTGATACTTTACATCATCGAGTCAAGTCCTTGGTTTTTGTAATTTTGTTGTGTTCCCACAGATGAATTGGAGTACTGGAGCACTGACCTTGATATAGTTATGTTGTGACGGTTTTAATAAAGAAGTTGTATATTATAACAGATACTTTATGCCAGTTCACAATTCTAAGATAAATGTGAACAGCAACTTACCTACATCAAGAATATTACGGGGAAGCCAGCTTCGAAACTGATTGCCAGTAGCACGTGGCAGATATACACAGAACATTATTAGGAGGAAGTAAAATGAGAAGAAAAAGAAACAAAAGACAATACATTAACAATGATGATGTTAAAAGAGAACAGCATGTGAGAATCTTGTAATACTTAATATACTGAAAATCACTTTTGACATTAAAATACTGAGAATGTAACAATGCTTATACAAATCACAAGAATACATAGTGACTGCACATAAATATTTCATTGGATATGACATTAGTTGCTTACTCCTTAACTCTCTGCTCCTCTAAGGACCTTGGTTTCTTTTAAGACATATGCCGATTCTTCTATATTATTTGCCTTTAGCCTCCACATCTTCACTTTCAGCTCTCATAAATCATTCTCTTCATCTTCCAGCCTTCCCACTTTTATTCAACTTACTTTCAAAACCATTCTTAGCCACCCTCTTTGGATCCATTCTGATCAACTGCCCCAAATACTTCAATGTTAATACCAGTTATCAGGTCAGGGGTTCTACATAATTCCCCCAGTTCTTGGTTACTTCCGATTTTCCAGAACCTTTACTCAGATAATGGCCCGTATACCTTCCTCGAAATTTTGGCTATGACATTACTTGGGACTTCTTGGTTTCATCTTTTTTTAAATTCTTCTTTTGTGAAGTATTCCTGCATGTCATCTCCACTGTATCAAAACCATCATCCTCACAATCCTTCCTTCGTTTCGACTCTGTTATTAATGCCCGTACCAATCTTTTGTGTCCATTATTATCTGCTTTGACAGTGTCTTGTGTAGCGTGTTCAGTACTGAAATTTGTATCTGACTTCTGATGAACAGAAGGGCTTACAGATGATGAAAGTGTCTTAGTGGGTTTATGAACTGGTTCAATACCATCCGGTAGAATGACTGTGTCACTGCTGGAAGATTTGATCGGCTGCTGCGGTTCTGCTCTCTGTTGGATGCATTCAGAACTATCTGTCTTGCTGATACGGATGACAGGAATGTTGTCTGACCACGTTGATATCAATGAATCTTCTCGTTCCTTATTGGTGGAACTGGAGGATGGTGATTTATGTCTGTGTTCTGATCGCCTTCTGTGACTGTGGTGCTGGCGGTGATAATTCTTATCACTCACACTCTTGGCTGTACATTTCGTAACAGGTTCTTGTTCAACATCAAAGGATGTTTCAATGATGCCGCTGTTGTACAATTCAAATCGAGGTCTGACTTTCGCTGCTTTCACATGGGGTCTGTCCTCAGTGAGAGAGTCATGCAATTCGATATCAGTCCCCTCTCCATCCATAATGGGCATGCTCTCTTCATCAGACGTTGCAGAGGATTTTCTAAGGGCCTTTTTCATAATCCTGGCCAAGGTCTCTGAAAGAAAAATACACAATATTTGAGGCTTTCATGGGAGTGAGGAAATAAACTGCGGTCTTTTGAGTGGAGATTTTATTTATTTAGTAGAGCATGAGCCAGCTGAAACCAGTCTTAAACTGAAACTATGAATACAGGAATCATATTCGTTACAAGCTGAGCCCAGAGAAAGCAATTCCTTGTTAAAAAAAAATATAAATACAATTTAGAATGGAATTATTTGGAACAAATTTTAAAGATTAGAAGTTTCTTGTAATAAATTGTGATGTGATTCATGCATATTTAGGGTACAGCATCATTGCTATTCATATTATCTACATAGGCCACGGAGGCCCATAGGGTTGTGATATGTCAAGGCTAATGAAATATACATTATCAGTGGTTCATTTACAAGGTAAATGAAAGTGTAAATACCAAAGTCATAATTGGACTGAGGTGCTGGTAAGTGGGCACACGTTAGTGCTACTAACCATTCCGATTAGCATCGCTTTTGATGTTTCCATTGCTGACAGTCATGATGCTGTCCTTATCGTCTGCGTTGTCGCCCCCTTTGGCAGGTCCTCCAGGCAATGATTTGGATGGCATTACTGGCAGAATTTTGCGCCACCTGCTGTACGCGGTGTCTGTCCCATCTGCACCACTTCCCCCTCTTCGTCTGCGGTGTACAAGTTGGAACATCTTGCGGCGCTCTTCTGTTCGCTCTCGGCGCAGCTGAATCTGTAATCACATTCGTTTTGACTGATACAAATTCATTGTGTTCGTTAAATCACTGAGCAATTAACCCTTTCCCTTCTGTTTCACACCTGTTGAGGTTTCCAACCCAGAAACATTCATCATTGTCATTACATGGCTTCCAATTATTGCAGCGATGAATTGTCAAGTGTTCACATGTTGAATAGTGTAAGCTGTGAAGTAAATCATGAAAAAGTAAACAGTCTTTTGTTTCAGTGTATCATTTATTTTCAGGGTGCAAGATAGCTTAGTCGGTTGAGGCACTGTGCTACAAGCCGGAAGGTTGCAGGTTCTCGATGAGGTCACTGGATTTTTCAATTGACGTAATCCAGCTGCACTGCAGTCCTGGGGTCGATTCAGCCTCTAACAGAATTGAGTACCAGGAATCTTCCTGGGGGTAAAGGGTGGCTAGCACATAAGGCTGGAAACCTCACCACCATCTGTGAGCCAACTGTACAGAAAATGTGGGAACTTTGACATCTCACAACCGTATGGGCCTCCATGGCCTGTTGCAGGGACAGCTTTACCTTATCATAACTTTTGTGTGCGTACTGGTAATGTTTTCGTGTGGATAGGTGAAACGTAATAGGCTACAGAATGGAGTTGGTTTATGACTGGCTATTTGTGTGTTATTTATGAAAGATGGCAGTAAACCTCAGACAGAACACTTCATTCAGTAACATTAGGACTGCAGAGAGCAGGGGAAGTTAACAGCACCAAATCCTGTACAAAAACGTTGGGACTTTCATTGAATTCTCCATGGGTGTTACACTAATATTATTACATTATTGATATTCTCATTTCAGACATGCAGATGGACAGAAAAAGATAAATAAAAGATGTTACTTAACCTTTAGATCATTGTTGGCTTCTCTAAGGGCACTGGTCAGTGACACCAAATAGTAGATGACTAGAACAAGAAGTAGCAGAAGCGGAATCACTATTCCAGGAGAAGCGATGTAGTCCATAGGTCGGTGAAGAGATTCTGGCAGAGCTTTCTGGAGGCTTTTTGTAAAGATGTGATAAATGTGCTTGTAGCCTGAGAATGGTCCGCAATGCCACGATGGTTCAACCCAGACGATTGCATAGCCCACAGGGAGAACACAAAGAAATAACATGGTCAAGAGAAGAGCAAAATAGAAATTATTTGATCGAGAAGCTCGAAACACAACTTCATGGGGTACGTTGCAAGTTAGTACCGCCCAGGAACGCAGGTACATCAGAATTACGAGCTTGATGAGGTTGAGGAGGGGAAGTCCTGGAGAGAAGAACATTCCCATCCAGACCATGCCCTGGTTATTCACTAGGTGGAGTATGTTTTCTGCTATCTTGAAATCTCCATACTGCGGAAACTGTTTCTCAAGGTCCCAGCACCAGCAGTTGTTCATGACACGAACAAACACGGCTCGGAAGAAGTCGATAATCAGCGTAGAACTCACCGTCACAACCTGTGGTGTACAGAGAAATATTACTTACAGGTTAAACTGTGGTCTGCTGGAATAATATACTATGTTCTCCAGTAGTTAGTTACCAACTTTACTGTCGTAGTTCTCTTCTATGATGAAGATGCAGAAAATATGTTCATCTGAAACCAGTTCACATGACATCACATACCAGAAGACCATGCCATCAATTTCCAAATAACTTCAACACACAGATAATAAGTAGATTCTAAAGGGTTCTGACGATGGTGTATAATACTCAGAATTACTGGGTTTTGGACTTTGTCCAGTGTCCATTATTCTAAAAACAAGAAAACACAACATTTCAGAAACTGGATGTTTCCATCCTCAGATGGGGGGGGGGGGAGACACGTACTGTGTTGGTTCCCTTAGAAAGAACTAACCTAAATCACTGGAGAACCTATGTCAGTAGAACTACACCTGTATAGTTGTTTTTGTTCTCTGGTGAGGGGGCAGACACCTGAGGACACAAACAGATCCAGTTTCCAAAATACTGTGTTCTCCAGATTGTAGATACCATAATATGGATAAAGTAAAAAAAAAAAATTGTAATTCTCATGTAAATAATAATTTTTTTAATGCTATTGGGGTGGGACTAAGTCCCTTGTACTGCGGCCACCTCTGGCCTATTGTACCAGTCCCAGATGATAGGTAAGGGTGATTGTGGAGCAATTAGTGGAACGAAGATTGGCAGGGGAAACCAAAGTACTCGGAGAAAACCTGCCCCAGTGCCACTTTGTCCACCACAAATTCCACTTGACCAGACCCCGGGTCGCCTTGGTGGGAAGCCAGCGACTAACCGCTTGGGCTATGGTGCGGCCCCACAACATAAATAATAACTTAACTGTCTTGTGGAACCACAAACAAAAGTAATATTTGAGGTTCTGACAGCAGTGATTATAAAAAATTACTTTCTTCTTGGACTTGACATAGTGTAGCCTGGTAGATATTTGCCAGTATTTCAGAGGAACCTGCTGACTCCAATTTCAGGATGAAAGAATCTGAAGATGGAGGTGGTCGCTCCGTCTGAAATGTCGATACCTATCTGTCAAACTGTGCGATGTCGCCAAACAAGTTTGCTCCAGTTGTCCTGGGGCTGCCTGGTCCTCACATCTCAGCTGAGATACCAACTATCCAAACAGGGATTCTCATGGTTTTCCCCAGTCCCTCTCTATGCAAATTCCAGGATAGTACCACTTCCTTTCAAACCCTTTCCAAATTCATCATTCATTAATTATCCTCTCATTGGAAAGTAAGCAGGCTAAGCTGCTGACTTTCGTGACGCTACCAGCATTATGTGAAGGGGAACAGCCAGATAACATGGTTATAGACATACATTTAAACTGTAACATACATTTAAACATTTTACTGACTTCCCCAGAATATTCAGGATAGAAGACACATTATTTCTATATGTTGAATTTTTAGTATTAATATTCAGCATTTCTCCTTCTGTCTCCAATTTTTATGTTCTTTCAAAAATCCAGGAGGGGAGGGAACAGATGCCTGGCTTGCCCCCTCCCCCACCACAGCTCATGCCATCAGCATCATTAAATAAACAATAAATACACGCATAAGTGTAATCATATCCCAGAATACAGTAATGTTTATATCTTTAACACAAGAGTACAGTCTGTTGCTTTGTATTGGCATGAAGTTGGGAAAGTGACCAATGTTTCAGAGAACATATCACCTATCTCTTCAGAGTCAAAGAGCGTGCCAAGAAAGAAAGCAGCAGGGGTGGACAGCAAGCTGCGCCACTCGAGGCCATCTGCTCTCTCCGATCTGAACAGCGTTACAACCCTTCATAGTCAGTGCCATGAGAACGTTACCAGATCCATTACAGTGAGTTTCACAAGTTCCTGGCCAAACATTGTCTCCCAACACAAACGACGTAGTTCCCTCCGTATCTTGATATCCATTTGTTCTGTCGATATCTCCGACTCACGCACTGGAAGAGCACTTGAACCTGAAAAGTGATAAGAGTGATGCATCACTTTTCTCTGCTGTTTGACTTGTATGCTTTGGCAGTATAGACATTGATGGACCCAAGGCTTTTGATCACCGGTATTAATGTGTGCCTACTTTGGCTGTCAATGTTGAACATCTTTCAACATTTTTGGCAAACACTGCAGTTGCCATTTTCATGGTCAATGTAGCTGGGGGGGGCTTTGGAAACCCTTATACAGTAGACCCTCGCTAATCTCGATAAACTGGGGGCAAAAGGTCATCCAGATTAAGTGATAATCCTGATTAGGGAAGCAAAAGGTAGCCCCTAAAGACAACAGCAGAAATAAATGGAAAATTTAATGATATAAGTAGTGCTGATGAAAAATAAAAAATATCACTGTACAGTCTTCATTTAAAATCATATAAAAAGATAGTACATTTATCCATCAATATAAGTTATACTTTTTTTGAATGTAATAATGCAGCTTTGAAAAACTGTCAAGTTTTGTCTGAACAGACAAGTGACTCATCTAACCAACTTCATGGAGCTGAGTCCTTCTCGAGAAGCTGCCAGTTGTGCAGCTACTCAAGAACTTCCCAACATTTTATGGAACCTGAAGATTTATTGCCGTGTTCACAAGAGTCCTCCACTGGTCCCTATCCCGAGCTAGATCAGTCCAGTGAATTTTCTGCCTTCTTAAATGCCACATGTCTTTTAAAGTATGTACTCAATTATGAACATCGTTTTTCATATTTCGATCCAGATTAATGAGGTTGCCCGTATAGATTTACCCACGTCTGTCCCCATTTCCTGCCCTGTACATGCCGTTTGTTGTGATGAGAGTGTGCGGACCTAAGTGGAAGCAAGTAACAAAGAACATGAAAAAATTATATATTGAGGAACTTCTTGATTTATATTATTAGGATGCTAATATCAACTGATAATATAAGCAGAGCATGTAGCATGCACAGAGGCGATGAGATATGAATATAAAATTTTAGTAAGAAGACTTAAAGGAAGAGACTATTTAGATCAGAGGTTCTCAACCTTTGCGAAACCGCGGCCCAGTAAATACTTTTTTTAAAAGACGAGGGGCCTGGTACCAGACCATGGCTCAGTGGCTGAGATGACCTAAGCATAGAAGTACATGCCGGTAACCAAGAAAGACTGTGCTAATGGACCTGCATTTATTGAAATTGGCTCATATAAATTTGAGGCTGTATGTAGTTTTGCTTACCTTGAATCAGAAGTTAACTGTAAAAATGACATCAGTGATGAAATAAAAAAGCGTGTACTTGCGGCAAATAAATGTCTCCATGGCCTTAGGAAACACCTGAAATACCAATTAATACCCAGGAAAACCAAAACTATGATGTATAAAGTACTTATAAGATCAGTGCTATCTTATGCCTCTGAGACCTGGCCACTGTCAGATCGGATGAAAGACTGTTAAGTGTATTTGAAAGGATCTTGAGGTATATCTTTGGACCGGTGGAAGAAAATGGAATATGGAGGAAGAGGTATAACCATGAGCTATACAAACTATTTAATGAACCAGACATTATTGGATTTATAAAGGTGAAAAGGCTTGAATGGGCTGGACACACAATACATGCCAGCGAGAATAGAACCATCAAGAAAATGCTTAACACCAAACCAGAAGGAAATAGAAGAGTGGGAAGACCAAGGTTAAGATGGGAAGAATGTGTGTGGCAGGACATAAGAATTTTGGATGTAAAGAACTGGAGGAATGTAGCATCGAATGGAGAAGAATGGCGAGCAGTCCTGAGGAAGGCCAGGGCTCACAAAGGGCTGTCGTGCCAATGATGATAACCTGAGCATAGATGAGATGATAATATTAAAATGGATCTTAAAATAATTATGATTTGAAGGCATAGACTGCATTCAGCTGGCTCAGGATATGACTCTTCTGAGCACAGTAATATACTTTGACATTTCACAGAAGGCAGGGAATTTACTGATCAAGTGAGAGACCATCAGCTTTTCAAGAAAAACTTGGCTCCATGGAGTCACTCAGATTCGTTTTAGATATCCCCTTTTCAGAATTATTTCTCCTGTTATCAGAATGCAAGATGAAATTTAACAATATTAACATTGTACTTACCATAGGATTTTCCCAGGTTTAATGTTGATTCCACAGTAACAGATCCAGGAGAGTGCTTTTCAGTTATAGTGTTCAAAGTTGCAGCAGGTTCCCAAGTGCTAACAGTGGCATCTGTTGATACTGTGTTGCACTGAGTTGAGTAACATTTGGTTGGATCTGTGAAATCTGTAGTTACTCTTTGGAGAATCTCAGAGACTTGCTTTATATGATCACTGCTATCTGAGAAATCTCTGTTCTGGGCTAATAAAGTTGCTAGTGTTGTAATGAGTGTTGACATCAGCTGTTCACGCTCACTGTCTTGTGGTGAAGTGCTATGCATATTACCATTATCAAAATTTAAATTTGCCACAGTAACAGAACTCGACGGCGGAACACCTTCGGTGCTTAAAAAATTACCTATGAAAGTACCTGACATATTATCTAAACTCTGGTCTGATGACAAGTTTCTTGAATCCAGATCAAAGTCCATATCAAGGATGTCAAAAGTTGTATTTTTCATGCTTGAAATAGAAATATTGTTTGTCATATCAAAATAATGTGTTGCGTCTGAACTGAGTATACTCAAACTGTCATCAGTAAAGTTCAATGAATCCACTTCTATGTCACTAATATTCACTGGTGCATTTGTTAGTTGATCACCAAAAGTTCTGTTTCTATCCCAAAAGTATTCTCCAGTCTGATTCACAAGATTATCATAAAATTCTACAGATGTTTCTGATGATATTGGGGGACCATTAGTAAGAATATCTGTGTCTTTTAAAAACAAATAATTGTAATCAGTTGTACCATCTAACATTTGAGTCCAATTGAAAACTGTTGGCAATGTTGGTAAGTGTGCTAACCCAGAAGTAGAGTCTGTGTAGTTAAGGAGGCTCACTAGTTTTGAAACTACATAAGTCACTTCTGCAGGTTCGCTCATTACATTGGTAATCATGCGAGATGCTCCACTTAAGGCAGTTACTAACATCACGATGGAAGCTGTGACATCAGGTATCGATGGAGTAGTCATATCAGGAGTTTCAGACACTGTGGGAAGACCTGCACTAGCGGGAGATCCCACAGGCCAAGGAGTGCTACTTCCCAAACTGTCCAATGTAATGGCCGCAGAAGCCGTGGCATTTTGTCTCAAGCTCTGCAAGTCTTTTGTCTTCAGGATATATGAAATGAAAAGAGGAACATATTAGCACAACAAAAAGTGGATTTTCTTGTGGTAAGAAATATAAAGCACCAATGCAGAAATCAATAATAGAACTGCATTTTCTTCCACTGTAGAAGCATTCCTAACACTCGCAAAAAATTATAATTTTCTTTTCAATAATAAGTATGAAATAAATGCTCATAGGTGCCAGCAAAATTCATTCTGAGGGGGCAGCCCATTTGCTAAGAGAGGCAGTTGAAAAGTTCTGTTACAGACTTATGTTTAACCCTAATTTTGTTGATCATTCTGAGGCATTCAGGATAGAATAGATCACTCTCTCATGGAGATGAGCCCTTTTTGAGGAGCCACCAATTGTGCAGCTATGCAACAACTTCCCACCATTCTATAGAACTCAAAGGTTCATTACCACGTTCACAAGAACACTCCACCGGTCCCTATCCTGAACCAGATTAATCCAATCCATACAATCCCATTCTATCTCTCTAAGATCCATTTTAATATTGTCCACCTACCTACAACCTGATCTTCGTAGTGGTCTCTTTCCTTCTGGCTTTCCCACCAATATTGTATGTTAAATCCTCTTCACCCCCATTTGTGCTACATGCCCTGCCCATCTCATCCTCTTTGACTTGATCATTGGAGAAGAGTACAAGTTATGAAGCTCCCCATTATGCAGTTTTCTCCAACCTTCTGTCACTTCATCTCTCTTCGGTCCAAATATTCTCAACACCCTGAGTATACAAGGTGTGGCAATAAAGAAACCGGATTCATGCTCTAACCCTTTATTAAAAAAAATCAGACAGTCGAAATGTTATCCCCTTCAATGTAGTCCCCTCCCCGATCCCTACACCGCTCCATGCGAATTTTCCACTGTTGGAAGCAGTGCTGCAGGTCATCTTGTGTTATGCTCTTCAAGAGTTGCGTCGCTTTTGCTTTCACTGCATCCACGGACTCGAACCTGGTCCCTTTCAGCGCAGACTTGATTTTTGGGAAGAGAAAAAAGTCGCACGGTGCTAGGTCCGGAGAATACGGTG